AACATTCAGAAAACTAAGATCATGGCATCTGGTCCTATCACTTCATGGCAAATAGATGGGGAAACAGTGGAAACAGTGATAGACTTTTATTTTGGGGAGCTCCAAAATCACTGCAGATGGTGATTGCAGCCGTAAAATTAAAAGACGCTTACTCCTTGGAAGGAAAGTTATGACCAACCTAGACAGCATATTAAAAAGCAGAGACATTACTTTGCCAACAAAGGTCCGCCTAGTCAAGGCTATGGTTTTTCCAGTGGTCATGTATGAATCCCCTGTGAAGACCCTAGAGAAAGCCCTAGGTCCCCGCCTCATCTCGACAGGAGGCCTCACATCCCTTTGACACCTCGAGAGGCACGTGGAGTTCAATGCTTCAAAAGGTGACAGTGCCTGACTCCTCTTGAACATTGATAGGAATCCCAATATCCCTGTGGCTACTGGGATGTGAGAGTTGGACTATAAAGAAAGCTGAGCACCGAAGAATTAATGCTTTTGAATTGTGGTGTTGGAGAAGATGCTTGAGAGTCCCTTGGACTGCAAGGAGATCCAACCAGTCCATCCTAAAGGAGATCAGTCCTGAATATTCATTGGAAAGACTGATGTTGAAGCTGAAACTCCAATACTTTGGCCACCTGATGTGAAGAACTGACTCATTTGAAAAGACCCTGATGCTGGGGAAGATTGAAGGCGGGAGGAGAAGGGGACGACAGAGGGAGAGTTGGTTGAATGGCATCACTGACTCAATGAACATGAGTTTGAGTGAACTCCGGGAGTTGGTGATGGACAGGGAGGCCTTGCATGCTATAGTCCATGGGGTCGCAAAGAGTCTGTCATGACTGAGCTACTGAACTGAACTGATTGTTAGCTAATCAGAGATCACCTAGGGAACTTCATGGTTTTTCATATTTTCAGTCTGCTTGAAGTCAAAGGGTACACAGTAGAAATGAATTAGTCCTACAAAAAAAAAGAGAACCTGAAGATTATCATCTTTACTGAAGTAAGATAGAGAGACAAATATCATGAGATCACTTATGTGTGGAATCTTTAAAAATGGTACAAATGAACTTGTTTAAAAAACAGACATAGAAAACAAATCTGTGGTTTCGTAGTGGTAGTGTTAGTCATTCAGTTGTGTCCTTCTCTTTGTGACCCCATGGCCCTGTAGCCCTCCAGGCTCCTCTGTCCATGGGATTCTCCAGGCAGAAATACTGGAGTGGATTGCCATTCCCTTCTCCAGAGCATCTTCCCAACCCAGAGGTAGAACCTAGGTCTCCTGCATTGCAGGCAGGTTCTTTACCGTTAGAGCTATAGTGAAGACCTTTACAGGGGAGGGCAGGGGGGAATAAATTAGAGGTTTGGGATTAACATATATTTATTACTGTATATAAAATAGATAAGCAACAAGGACCTACTGTATAGCACAGGGAACTATACTCAATGTCTTATGATAACCTATTATGGAAAATAATCTGAAAAATATGTATGTATGACTGAATCACTTTCCTATATGCCTAAAACTAATACAACAGTGTAAATTATACTTCAATAAAAAAAGGTTACAATGTCTTTAATTTAAAAATTGTATAGAAAAAGCAATATTTCCTATTTTCTTATTTCATGCTAAAATTAGTTTATATACTTCTCTCCTCTTTTCCAGTTGTTTGAGAGTTTCAGTTTTCAGGTTTTGATTGACAAAGCTCTGTGTGATTTCTCCTGGATTTCTGAAATTTTTATGTTAAAATTTTTTTTTCAGCTGCTTTTAAATCTGTAAATGCTTGGCCTAAATTTGTGCAGGATCCAGGCATATGGATGTGCCAGGCATGCACAAATCTAAAGGGTTGCCTTTCTGAATGGCCAGGGAAAAGGCCAGTCCCCAGGAGCAAAGACTGTCATGGTTTTTAGTAGATTTTGCAAGCGTCCAAAGACTAGCTATCTTCTACTAAGCAGATATTTTAGTTGGTTCTTAGTGATTAACTTCTTTATTTATTTTTTGGCTAGAGCAAAACAACACTTAAAGCCCTTTGAATCATCTAGACTTTTCCAGTCTCCTTTTCGCAATCTCAGAGTGTAATTTGCTTATGTCCTGTCCTGTTTCTAAAATCCAAACCCTCTTCCCTTTGTTTCACAGTAATATCAGACACATGAGGAAACAGCTTGATCAACTGGGCCTGTGTTTCAGCTGGGACAGGGTAAGTCACCTCTTTCCCAGAAGGTCTTTATTTTAACCACAGTCCTGAGTGAACAGGGGACTGTGCTCATTTACTTTATCTTCCTTCTCTTCACGTCAAGAGGAGGGAAAGGAGGGTGGCAGAAAACAGGCAGGAAGGATTAGCACTCCACAAATGAAAAAGTATCCCCAGTGGATAATTTGTCTGCAGACAAGTAATTTTCTGAGGGATTAAGCTAAGAGAGTTAACTTATTTAACCTCCCAGTTGGCTGTGATTTATATATGTGGGAAAAGCTCTGCACAAGGATTGCTCCTATTGTCAGCAATAGTTTAAAAAGACTATTGAAATCTATGTAAGTGATTAAATATCAACCCATGTGGTCCCTTTAGGTGATTAGGTGGAGGTCAATGGATCATTTATCTCATTTGTCCCACGTTTGGAATTGAGGTTCATGATAAATAGCCTTTTGGTATAAAGTGCATTCAAACTGTGTATTAAATCCACTGGAGAATTCCAGACCTGGGAGGAGTTCAACACCCAGGCTAAATGCAGCTGAACCCTTCAAAGCAGTGGCCAGTAATTAGCCTCCAATTAAAATAAATTAATTAATTTTTTTAAAAGATGTAAAAGAAAAAAAAAGCAGTGGTCAAAGAACCCCAGTTAGACACTGATGCGTGGTCTGTTAAGTAAGGTGGACTCCTGCTCATCCTCTCCATGAAGCAATACTGTGATCACTTTTAGCTTCCTATTTACTTCACAAAATGCTTTTCATTGCTGGGTCTGTCAAGTTCAGGTTCACATCCTTTTTACTCATGAGAAGCACCTGGGAAAAACTGAAATATGATCGTCTTCTCCTCCCCCATGATTTTTTAAAGATTGCATTTTGATGAGTACCATGAAAAAGAATGAAAATCAAACACATTTAAACAGTCCCTGCTTTTGTCTTTTTTTTTTTTTTCCAGCTTCTTTAGATGAGTTCATGGGCTGAATTAAGTTCTTATTGCAGCACTGATGCCATTTTTATCACTAACTTGCAAGGTCACCAGGGTTTTGTTTGGTGGAGGTGTGAAAAACTCCTGGTGCCTGACTCAGCTTGTCCGGAGGAGCCAGTGGGGAAGTGCTGGAGAGAATCAAACATATTCTACTGTGGAGAGAATTGAGTAATGCCCTGAGCGCTCCAGAGATGCGTTGGTAGATTGCTTGAGGGCAGAGATGGTCTTGTTAACCCTCTAGGATGAGAACTAGGCTAGTCCTACACAGGAACAGCAACCATAAATGGTTCAAAAATTAATGGGTTGTTTTCCAGATTATCATAGAAGATTAGAAAACACAGAAAAGTATAAAGAAGAACATAAGTCAGTATGATTAATTCAACATCATTGTATGGTTCCTTGTAGTCTTTTTTTCTGGAATTATAAATATCTGTATAATTTACTTTTGCAAAATAGAATTCATAAATCATGTTTTTTATTTTGCTTTTTTTTTTAAACTGCTGTTCATGAACATTTTTCCAGTTTATTAAATAGTCTTTGGGAAAAGTGACTTTTTATAGCTATACAGCTTTCCATCTTATGAATATATCGTAATTTATGTAACCTGCCCCTTGTGTGTGTGCTCAGTCATGTCTGACCCCTGGCAACCCCATAGACTGTAGCCCTCCAGGCTCCTCTGTCCATGGGATTTCCCAGGCAAGAATATTCAAGTGAATTGCCATTTCCTACTCCAGGGTATCTTCCCGACCCAGGGATTGAACCTACATCTCCTGCATTGGCAGGTGGATTATCATACATTTAGATATATTCTAATGTTTGTCTATTGTAAGTACAACTTCTCAATCCCTCTTGTAAAAATCTGAAGTCCAGAAAGCTCTAAAAGTGGAAAGTTTTTTCATAATTCATTTGACTGCAAAACCTGACCTAAACTGATGTTTATCTCACTTATAATGAATATTCATATATGTTTTACTCTAGGAATAGTACAGTGATTGATTACCAGGTGCTCTCCCAGACCTAGTTAGGTAAATATACTGTTGTCTCTTAACATCCAGAAAGTTCTTAGTTCTGAAGCACAGTTTGACCACAGGCGTTTCAAATAAGGGATTTTGAGCCTGGAAGTGCAGGATTATAGATGAATATCACCACTCCTGCTATCACTGTCTAATAGTTACTGAACAATTCCCATGGGCCAGGCACCCATAATTCTCTCTTGAGATCTCTAGAAATCGCTAAAACGTGGACACTTCTGTTGATTGCATTTTACTGCCTGTCACCCCCCCAACACTTGGAGCAGATACCTTAATGCGCATATTTCCTTAGTATGAATCCTCAAAAAAATCTATGAACAAGTTTAAAGCTTGTGGTACTTGAATTTAAAGATAGTTAAAGGTATAATTTGCTTATGTTACTTTGTTGTTGCCAAATTATCCTCCATAAAGGTCATACATATTTACCCTCCCAAGTTATTAGTTATTTTCATCTGTACTTCTTTATTACTGGTGATAGTGAGTTTTTTTCATGCTTTTAATGAATGTTTGAATTGGCGGGGTGTTGTGTGGAAATGATCTAACCATGTCTTTTGTCCATACAGGTAGATGGTGTTTGTCCTTACAAATAGTTTCCCTCAATTTATCATTTGATTTGCATGCTTCCAGATGGTGCTAGTGGTAAAGAACCTACCTACCAGTGCTGGAGACTTAAGAGGCATGGGTTCAATCCCTGGGTTGGGAAAATCCCTTGGAGGAGGGCATGGCAACCCACCCCAGTATTCTTGCCTGGAGAATCCCATGGACAGAGGAGCCTGGCGGGCTACAACTCCATAGTGTCTCAAAGAGTCAAACTAGACTGAGGTGACTTAGCACGCATGGGATTATTATTAGCACACAAATATTTTCTTGGAAAGGCCTTTCAGACAGATAAATACATTTATATCTCAATTAATTTTTAATTTTTGCACTTAACTGGAATTCAGTTAAGGAATTCCTACTTTTTCTGAATAACCAGTTGTTTCTTTTATTTTCAAACAGTCTTCCTCATTGATTTGAAAGGTTACCTTTATTATAGTCATGATCTTTTACACTATTATTACACACTTAGGTTCTGTTTTTGTTCATTTGATCCATTGATTACTATGTCATTACTGAACTATTTTTAGTTATACTTGCTTTATAATTGGCTTTAATATCTGGTAACAGAGATTTTTTATTGTTTGATGTTGATAGCACTATCCCTACTATCTTGTGTTTTTGTTTTCTTGATGTATTCTGCCCATTTAAAAGCATTTTTATCCTTTAGTTGTTGGATTCTTTTGATGCACCACTTATGTATACAGTTAACTTAAAAAATTAAAAGATGGACAAAGCATATGAGAAAAACCATCTTTTGGCTAATCTAGAGTCTTTCACAGTGAAGTGTAAGCTATTTGTATTTATTTTTATAACTAGTATATCAATTCTTTATTCTTACACACGATACCCTTAAGTGTCTTTTTTTTTTAATGTGTTCAGCAGTATCAACATAAAAAATAGAACAGTATGTATGTTTTTGCTTCCCATGTAAGGTAAGGAGTTTAGCTGGTAGATACACTTTCCATTTTCTAAATCTGTTTTCCAGAGGCTTTTGGGGGTATATTCTGAGATTTGGGGCCTAACTTCTTATTCTTGTAATTTTTCTTATCACGCATCACTTCTTAGCATAGAAATGTAGATATTTGCTTTTGGTTTTAAAATCATATCCATAACAATTACTGAAACCAAATGATCCTTAGCTAGTTTCAGTGCTCATCCGTAGGCCTTATAGAGCATGATTGCCCATTTGCAAAATCTAGATTTGTGAAAAAATGTTTAGATATTTTAGCTCTTGCTTTGAATCTTCTGATGTTGCATACTATTTTCATAACAGAGAATGACTTTTCATTGCTTTCACCTATGAGCAGCAACTTACTGGGGTATATATAATTCTTTTTTCTTTCAAATTTCTTTAGTAGACCTTGATCCTTGACCTACTGTCTTAAAAATTACAGACGCATGGGAATTTGCCGAGATAGTATAGAGAGATCCTATGAATCCTGCACTGGCTTTTCCCAGTGATATCACTTCAAACAACTGCAGTGTAATATCAAAACCAAGAAATTAACATTGGCATAATGCTATTAACTAGAGTACAAATCTTATTCAGATTTCACCGGTTTTTATATGTACACACAGTGTGTGTACCTATGTGTGTATGTATGGGGAGGAGGAGGAATTCTATGCAATTTTATCACATGTCGATTTATGGAACCACTACCATCTGCCCATTGTCTGCTGGTAGAGAAGTCTCAGTCCAGCCCGGACCATCTCTTTGTCACATAGACATCTTTCTGCTCTCATTGGACTCCTTTTGTCCCTGCCTTTGCCAGAGGCAGTTTTTCAAAAGTCTCCTCAGGGTGTATCTTCCCTCCTTTCACTTTTAATTTGCCCGTTGCTTACTGCCCATGTTTGATCTGTGGTGTGAGTCTTTCCTTCTGGCAGTTTTCGAGACTCTCAAGAGCACCGATTCTTTCACTGTCTTTCGTTGTTTTCACCACCTCTCTCTTGATTTTGGTCCCTTTGTTCTCCTCTACCTTTTGGGAGAACGTCTCCTGTTTGCTTTCCACATCACTGATTCCGTTCCTATTGAAGCAGGGCTGCTTTGTGTCGTTTCTAATGCCAGTAATAATTCTGCTATTGTATTTTTAGATTAATTCTCAGTTTTCCTCATCTCATTCAGTTCCCATCCTCTTTCTCAAGCCTCTTGGCCAGATACATTTCTTTTCTTCCTATTTTGCTATCTTATCTCCTTTCACAGACCACATATGTTCAGAAAATTTCTTGAGAATACAAGGCGATGCTCTTGAAAAGTTATCTTTTGCATCTTTTAAATAAACCTTTTCACAAGTTTGAAATGCTATGCTCTCCTTGTTTGTTTCAGAATCTTTTCATGGACCCCTGGTGGATTTTTCCGCCTGTTTCCTGAGTGAGGTGGACTAGTGTATCAGTTTAGAGATCCATCAGCCTGAGGGGAGCAGAGTGGAACCTCTGGTCATTCTCTCTGCCACCTTTATTGCTGTCGGGGCTCAGAGGACCCATAGCTCCTGGGGCATCTTTCTCTTTGCTCTGATCTTTACCCAGGTGTGAGCTGCGCTCAAAAGTGCCCATGACCACGACTCCTTCACCTGCTTCTGAGGCCCTCCAGCCTGGGGTGTCCAGTCTGTGGGCTTTCCACTGCTCCATAGCCCATTCTCCCCTCTGAACTTGCCCTTTCAAATTAGGGGTGCCAGAGCTCTGCTTCTGAAGAACCTAGTCTGTCTTTAAGAGGGGAAGATGCTCTTTGGCTTTCGGTGTTTGTCTTCAACTTAATCCCATTGGCCAAACTCCCTTGATGTTTCTGGGATGTCAGTGGCACCTCTCTTACTTCCTGTACTAGTGCAGTTCCTTCAGCCTCCATCTGTATGTTCTCCTGGTCATTTTTTTTTTTTTTAATAAATATGGTTTTCTGTCTTTCTTCATTTGTTTTTGGCCACGCTGGGTCTTCGTTGCTGTGCGGACTTTTTCTCTGCTTGCAGTGAGAGGGGGCTACTCGTTGTGGCGGTGCGGAGGCTTCTTATTGGGATGGCTTCTCTTATTGTGAGCGTGGGCATCAGCAGTTGCGACTCCGAGGCTCTAGAACACAGACTTGGTAGCTGCGCCGCACGGGCCTAGGTGCTTCCTGACCCAGGAACTGAACTGTGTCTCTGCTGCATTGGCAGGCAGATTCTTTACCTCTGACCCGCCAGGGAAATCCCCCCAGGATGGTTATTTTAACGGGAGTAATGGAAACAACTTTAGATACATGCACTTTTTTTAGTTTATTTTTAAAAAATGAAACAAAGATTAATATTTTTCATGATGAAAGGTACAATTCACAAAGAAGATAGACATCGTAAACACCATTAGACACCTAACAACAAAGAAACAAAGATACGTAAAGCAAAAATCAAAATAAATATAAGGAAAAAGAGAAAAATTAATAATCATAGTGAGACATATTAACATTTCTCTGAGAATCTTTTAGATAGATGCATTCTTGATACCCTTTTCCCCAGAAACCCAGCAGTGCTTTTTAATGGAACTTTTGCATTCTGATGGATCATACAGAGCAGCAGAGTGAGGAGGTAGAGGAATAGTTTATCTATAATTGATGGGGTAAATCTGTGCCATTTGCAGATAACAATCCTAACGTCTCATAAAAACTGGGTAGGTGGCGTGTATGGATGTGAGAGTTGAACTATAAGGAAAGCTGAGCACCGAAAAATTGATGCTTTTAAACTGTGGTTTTGGAGAAGACTCTTAAGAGTCCCTTGGACTGCAAGGAGATCCAACCAGTCCATCCTAAAGGAGATCAGTCCTGGGTATTCATTGGAAGGACGATGTTGAAGCTGAAACTCCAATACTTTGGCCACCTGATGCAAAGAACTGACTCATTGGAAAAGACCCTGATGCTGGGAAAGATGGAGGGCAGGAGGAGAAGGGGACGACGGAGGATGAGATGGTTGGATGGCATCACCGACTCAATGGACATGAGTTTGTGTAAACTCCAGGAGTTGGTGATGGACAGGGAGGCCTGGCGTGCTGTGGTTCATGGGGTCGCAAAGAGTCGGACACGACTGAACGACTGAACCGAACTGAACTAAGTAGATGGCTAGTTGACAGTCAACAGAATACTTAAAAAATCAGATGGCTCAGAAACCTTCTCTTCCTCCCCCAGATGGAGAAAACCTGGGTCATGGTCTCATCCTTCCTCCCTCTGTCTGGATGGGGAATCCCTGTAGGAATGGTCCAGCTCTGGAGCTGCCTTCTCATCTTTCTTACAGCAAATGCTTGATTGTCTGAGTTAAAAGAAAAAGAAGTATGCATTTCTGGGAGTAATACTTTTCTGGTGAGCCAGAACAATAATCACACGGTGCTTTTTAGCTCAGCACTGTGTTTCACTGTATCAGATGTTATTCCCCAAACAGCCTATATCATCTTGATTCGGAAAGGAAGAAACTGAAGGCTGAATTTGAATAGCTAAACATCTCCTCCAGGAAGAGGAAAGAGGAGATAAAATTCCAAACCGTGCAGTGAGAGAGATCAGACACGTTTTTGTGTGTGTGGAGCACTTTCTTTGTGGAATCATCGGCAGCCTTTCTGGAGAAGATGTGACCTGCGTTCTGTTTTCATGCTTCAGGCTGTGGCCTTGGTGATCATGCACTGGCGCTCGGGCTGGCCCCATGAGTGCCTTGGGACAGTGATACTGTTAGCTTCTACACTGTGTGGTATGACTCACTGAGGCATGTCTGTCTCTGACTTTGACCCTGTGCCCTCCCACCAGTGCTCTTGTGCCTGAAGCTGGTTCTGGACTAGGCCTTAGCTGTGTGTTTTGGTTGGAGTAGGCTCTGGGGCCTGATTTTTATGAGGAATCATCTGGATAACTATTTGGGGAGCACTTCCTAGGAGTTCCCTTCAAAACCAGCAAGCATATGAAGAGAAAAAAAAAAACGTCCCAACCAAATGGGACTCAAAGTAATGCCTGCGGAACCTGTGAGAGCAGGGCTTTATTAACTCGTTGTTTATGGTGTTTGCTGAGCAGTACCCAAACACTCATCCTTCTATGTAACACCAAAACGGAAACACAGGACTGGGCATCAGTGATATTTGGATGAACTTGTCTCCTTTACTGGAGTAATCAAGAATTGACTCTTTGCTGAGTTTCTTTACTGTGGAGATCTTAATGAGCTTTTATTTTACGAGCAATCATTTTCACTGGATTTTAATTTTATTTGTTTATTTTTGGCTGTGCTGGGGCTTCGTTGCGTCGAGGGCTTTTCTCTAGTTTTGGCGAGTGGGGGCTACTCTAGCTGTGGTGAGCAGGCTGCTCACTGCAGTGACTTCTCTCGTTGCAGGGCACCGGCTCTAGGGTGCGCGGGCGTCGCCTGCAGCAGAGCTTCGGTAGAGCACGGGCTCCGTAGTCGTGGCGCACAGGTGTTGCTCTGTAGCACGTGGGATCTTCCTGGACTACGGATCGAACCTGTGGCTCCTGCGTTGGCAGGCAGACTCCTCACCACTAAGCCACCAGGGAAGCCCCATTTGTCACTGAATTTTAAGTTTGATTTCTTCCCATGTTTCTACGTTCTGTCTTCCATACACGTTGGTGCCTGGTAATAAGACCGATGGATTTGCCCAGCAGTCCCATTGGAAGCAGGGATTACTGCCCCCAAGACAATCAGCCATTGAAACGAATTCAAAATGAGCCTCGCCCTCCCCACTGCCAGGTTCCCTGAAGGCTATGTTGGCTGAGATGGATGTGGGGTGTGGTTATCCTGGGGTGGTGGAAGACACACATCAGAACTGGCTCTCTAAGAGTTTTTATTGGGACTGGCTTTTCTGATGTCAACATTTTCCAAGTTTTATCCACCCATGCTGCCCAGCCTCCATAAATTCTGGGGGCTGCTGAGGCATTTATGGCATCATGTGCATACAACTCTGTTCTCTCTTTCTCTTTCTTCCCTTTCCTTGTCCTCTTGCTATTCCTTGTCCTCATCCATTTTCCTTGATTTACTTGCTTTCCTTTTCCTCTTGTCTTCTCTCTCCTGCCTCTTTTTTATAAATAATTTTATTATTATGAAAAATTTGTAATCTGCACTAAAAGTGAGAATAGCACAGACAACCCCCAAAGACTCATCACCCATCATCAACAGCTGCTGCTACGTGACCAGTCTCATTTCATCTGTACCCCTCTGCTCTGAATGATTTTGCGACAAGCCCCAGACATCGCATAACCTCATCTGAAAAGAGTCACTATATATCACTAGAGGATGAAGGCTCAGTCTTTCCTTCTCCGTCCCTTCCTTCCTTCTTCACAATTCCACTATCACACCTAAAACAATTAACAGTAATACCATAAAATCAGGGAATACCAGACATTTTGCAGGCTTCCATGGATGTCTTATCAGTATTTCTTTCTACCGAGTTTGTTTGCCTGCACTTCTGCTGGCCTTTGTTTAGCCTTTTCTTCCCCACCCTCCTGTCATTATCATGGTTTGGAACCAGTACTGTCTTTTCATCCAAAACATACAGGCTCTTTGGACCATAGCTGCATGAGTTTATTTTCAAAGACAGCATGCTTTGTATGATTACAAAGTGAAAACTATTATTGCCTCAAGGCCCTGACTACCTTGGAATTTTATTTACAGAGAGGACTAGACATTTGACAGAAGGGATTAAATTCCAGGAAAGAATGAGGCTTCTGGGATAATAGAAAGATACATTTTTAACAGTTTTTATTTTAAAAGAATTTAAAGACTATCTTAAAACAAAAAGAACTTAGGGCAAGTGATTGCCTGAAAACCTGGTTGGGAAGATGCCAGTTGTGAAAGCTCAGAGCTCTGGTTGCCTTGACAACATGCAACTGGGCCTCGAAATGTTTGACTCTCTGAGTCCTCCTTCAGGTCCTTCCAGAAGTGAAGCCATTTATCTGGTAGATCTCTAACTCTGCATTACTTGCTGTCCCTCAAAATTAAAAAAAAAATTAACTTCTTCCAAATGTTCTTCTGTTGACCGGGAGGTAAGAGGCAATGCCTTTTTCTACCTGAGATGAACTGGCAGCTTGTCTCCAGTGCTTTCAGTTCGGGGAGGCTTGGTGCTGGTGCATAAGGGTTAGTGTTCAGAATTGTCACCGTGTGTCATCACATACCTAGCACACATGCAGACCCCGTGCACTGCTGTGCCAGCTCAGTACTTACCGGCCTAAAACATGGGGGGAAGCTTCTGGTTGCTTCAGCCAGGATAGTGTTCTTGGACTCCTCAGCCCTAACTGAAGAAGGAGATGGCCTGGGGAAGCAGGGAAGTAGTCTGTTTTATCCTCATGCCCATTTGTGGTCATGAGCCCTATGAAGGATGCACACTTTGGCTCATGGAATAGAATTTCCCAATTTAGTGCTTGTTAAATGCTTCTTGGAGATCGGATCTTGGATACTCATCCCAGAGGCCTGGACTTTGGTGATGGGCCTTGCCGTTCACACAGGGTGGACATGACCTGTTACTCCTCCGAGCCTCAGGTTCTTACAGTCATTAAAGAGATTAGCTCACACCTCAAATACTTTAGAAAATAAGAGTGCAAAGCCTCTTCCCCATGGCTGAATCAGATATCCAGGTCAGTTTTGCATGATAGCCAGTACAACTTTTGACCAGACAGGTGCCTATAGGTGTACAACACGAGATGCTCTACGCACATTGGGAGGCAATGTCCACAAGACCTTGCAGATAGTCTTATTACTCCATGAAAATAACGAGGTTAATTTATGTGTGTGCTTGGACCAGTGGTTCTCTAACTTTGACAAGCTTCAGTATCACCAAGAGGGCTTGTTAAAGCACAGATTTCTGGGTCCCACCCTGATGCAGTATGTCTGTGGTTTTGTTTTTCTGTTCAGAAAAAAAGGACCTTAGGAATGATTGTACTCCCAAACCTTATTAGGTAGGAATCACAATAAAACCTACCATTAGTTTTTTCTGACATGGGGTAGAGCATAAATGAATAATAAAAACACAATTTATAAAAAAAATAGGCAATGTTTTTGCAAATACAAGATTATTTTTATAAAATTTCTTTGTGAAATGTTAGACATGGATAGACTTGAGCATAAAGCATGTACATAAAACTTAACACTTTATTGGAAGTGCAACCAGCCACCACCTAGGTTAAGAAAGCACCCAGAAGCTCTTTGGGGGCCCTTTTCCAATTGCAGCTCCATCTCCCCCCACTACCAGCATCATATGGAACTACTGTTCTGACATTTATGGTCATCCCTGCCTTGTTTTCAGTTTCACCACCTACCAGTGTTTTTCATAGTTACTTAAATGGACTCACCTGTATGTGTTCTTTTGTGTCTAGCTTCTTAAACTCAACATTTCTAAACTCAGCATTATGATCAGAGAATGTTCTCTGTGTGATTTTTCTAGAGGAAAACCCCACTCCTGTGTGTCTCCCACACTCAGTACTCTGCGACACCAGCCTCACGTCTGACGCCAGATGTGTGTCCTCTAATGTAACTCAGTTCTGATACTGTCTGCGTGAAGATGGTGTCAGACCCCACAGGTTACACACTTAGCCCCACAAGACAGTCCCCCTGCCCCCACTTCTTATTCCGCTCACAAGTCCAGGCTGTTACCTCGACTTCTGACCAGCTGACTCTTAAGTCAGAGGTTTCCACAACTCCTCCTTGATTAGTTTGCTAGCAAGAGTTCACGAATTTCACAGAATTCAGGAAAGCAGTCTGCTACTTGTTAGAGAACAGTTTATTACCAAGGACATCAAGATGAACAGCCAGATGAAGAAGTATATAGGATGGGGCCCGGGAGGGTCTCAAGCACAGAATCTTCTGTCCCAGTGAACTGCGATGGACACCTTCCTGCATGTCACCATCCCAGAGGCTCATCAAGTCTTGCTGTTCATGAGTTTTTATGGAGCAAGAATGAATTCCCTGACTCTCTATTTGAACTCCTCTGACACTGGCCTATCAGAGAGACAGAAGGGCCCCTCATTATTACTGGTTGGGGTCGAAGTCCAGACCCCCTTCCCCCACCCCTGTGATCTCAACTGACACTGCCAAGGTTGTTTTTTTTTTTTCCCTATATTAACTTGGATTTTATTTTTATTTAAGTTGATTTACAATGTTGTGTTAGTTTCTGTTGACAAAGAAGTGATTAAATTAAATATATATATACGCCTTCTCTTTTTATATATATTCTCTTCCATTATGGTTTGTCATAGGATATTGAATGTAGTTTCTTTGTGCCATGCAGTAGGACCTTGTTATTTATCTGTCCTATATATAAAAACCTGGTGTCCAGGAGGAGTAGGAGAGCCCGGCTTTCCACTCCACCTCCTCGGTCACCGCCCTGATGCAGGGACTGGGCTCCCTTGGTCTTGGCCCCCTGGGCTTGTAAGTCTAGACTGTCTACTAACCACTTCCTGGTGGGGATAGGGCTGTCATTTTTTCCTGTGGTGTTGACTAGGGTAGAGCTGTAATTGTCTAAATTTTCTCTCTTGTTAGGCTGTCCCTTTCATGGGACTTTGGCTAAAGGAAACGTGCTTTTCTTCTTTTTTATTTTTTTGTCTGTACTCCTTGGCATTTCTGGATTACTGTCTTCGTTAGCTCCAATTCTGGGACTTATGAGGCATAAAGAAAATCTGTGAAACTCACCACTGTGTCATTTCTCAGGTGCTGAGGTCTCTAATTAGCCTGCCTTCTCTTCTCTTCTCAATTTATCCAAGTCTGTGTTTGCTTTATACATACATATATATAACATTCAGGGTTTTTAGCTGTACTTAGTGGAAAGAACAGGAAAAAGTGCATCTGTTCCATCTTCCCAGAAGAAGATGGCGTATATAGTTTTAAATCCCCCTTTCTTCCTGTGAGATTCTGATCTGCACTTCCCTGCCCCTAGTCCTTCCCTTAAACATCACTGGGCTACATTGTGTTACACATGACATCTTTTAGGCTGTGACGGGTTTCTACTACTCGTTGCTCATAGAGCTCGCAGGCAGCAGAACAGCTCATTTTGGGCACCGCTGTCACTGTTTTGCATCCAAGGAATTGATGAATTGATATTTCCTCTTCATCTGGACCCATGCCCATTTCTAACAAATAGCCTTCTCATTATTCAGGAAACCTAGAGAACTCACTTCTCAAAAATATCTTTCAGAAGACACTGCCCTGTTGATCCTGAAATTTTCAAGTGTGTTGCAGATAAAATTAATGTTCTTTTCCTCCCAGGAAAAATGAAACAATGGTAGAGAGCTGGTTTGGCATGAATATTTGAAATACTGGCTTCTGCCCAAGTAGACTGATAACAAATTACAACTCATACCCATTCATCTCATCTGTAGTTGAATGGAGGGTTTTCCATTCCCAGCTGTCTAGTTAGAAAAGCTGTCCCTATTGTCTGACTGCCTTGATGAAATTCTTGTCAGCTGGCAAAGAACAGTTACCAAGCAATTAGGCAAAGTGTTGCTTCTTGTCCAATTATGGATAGTTTACAGAAACTTGTGCCGTTTGTAGCAGGAGACAGCTTTCAGGTTACCATAAAAATGACAATGCTCAAAAAATAATGGCCAGGAAAATAGCAAAAGAGGAGCCTACTGGTCAGCCTGATTTCAGTTCAGAAAGACAGTGTGAGCTGTCTTCAAAACTGCAAAGACCATGATTTCCTTTTCCTTAACGCTTCTTTTCTAAATTGGCTTCGAGAGCACGTAGAACATGAACCTTTCAAATGACGAAAATTCAGCTGTAGCCCTAGATTTGAAAAACAAGACCTTTAAGAATAAAATGCGTGCTCTGTAAAAGCAGTGTCTAGCATTTGTCATTTTCAGTTTTCATTAAATGCTCATTTTCAGGCTAACGTTAGTCCTGAGATGAAGAAACATAATTACATACAAATGAGTTCTTAGACAAATGTTAGGTTCATGATTAATTAATTACCCTGATATTAACACCTGTTCCCTCAGCTCTGCAAAAAAGGAGGAGAACCGGGAAGGTAAAGGAGGCCCCAGGCAGAAACTCAGCCAGGATGGAATTTAACAGATGGCTGAAGGAAGAGGGATGAAAGGATGGGACCAAGGCGAGGGGGACAGTGAGGCCGGAGAACCTGGGCAGTGGCAGCCATTGTTGTTTAGTCACTAAGTCGTGTCCGACTCTTTGCGACCCCGTGGACGGCAGCACGCCAGGCTTCCCCATCCTTCACCGTCTCCCAGAGCTTGCTCAAACTCATGTCCATTGAGTCAGTGATGCCATCCAACCATCTCCTGCCACCCTCTTTCTCTTTTACCTTCTCTTTTCCAGCATCAGGGTCTTTTCCAGTGGGTGGGGAGTAACAAATAGTTTAGGAGGGAGGAAGCAGTGGCCATGTGGTCTGGGACAGGGACCCCCTGGCTGGGTCTGTGGGTGGCAAAGAGTTGTTGGGAGAGATGCAAATGGAATGGAATAAAGCAGAACAGGAGAAGTCAGGGAGAGGTCTCAGCCCTGGAATGCCTGTGGGAGGTGAAGGTGTGATGGATTGCCTCTTTTCTCTCAGAGACAAATGGGAATGAATGAGATAGGAATAGGAACGACCGTTCAGAGAAACTGCTTAAGGAAAGAGAGACTGTGAAAAGGTTTAATGTAGGTGGCTCGAATCTTCATATTCTCTGACCCAGGGCCCATATGCAGTTAGTACCCAATAAATGTCTGTGGCATAATTCAGGGAGTGAGTGAGCAAACAGAGCCCTCAGTTGGATGGAAATTCCCTTCTCTTTGTTCTCTGAACCTCCGTCTTCTGTCACTATAGCCTCTTGTTGTTGTTAAGTCTCTCAGGATAAGGACAGGATAATTGTAGACCCTTCATGAATGTTTTCTCCTTGATGAATTAAATGGGGAGAAACACAGAATTCTGGACCAGTATTACACCATGGAGCTGAGAAACTAATCTCAAGTGTGTCTCCTTTTGAAAAGCCATCATCTGTTTTTGATTTTGTAGAAGTCGCTAATGGAGATATATGTGGTTCTGCATTTGCCTTTAGAGGTTTGAAGTTTCTGCACACAGGTTTCTTAGAACACTCTGTTCAGTATGAATTGGAGTGACATTTCTCATGTGAACCCATACTTGACAACATTTAATATGAATAAGCCAGACTGGTTCCAAGAGAAAAAGACATTCTAATCTTTTAAAAACCTGTTACATTTAAGAAAACTTGCAAGGGCTTTGTCTCAAAGCTTTAATTTTTTTTTTTTACTCTGGTGACACTTGATGTCCTGAATTTTGATGTATTTGTTGCTTTAATGAAGATTTATTGAGCATCTGTCATGTATACCTACTGGGCCAGTGTTGGAAAGGCAGCCTGACCCTCTCCAGATTCCTGGATCCTCATAGCACTTACGCGTCCCATTTTCTAGATGAGAAACATGAGGCCCAGAGAGATGAGTCGTTGTCCAGGGTCACTGGCGAGTCCACAGCAGACTCATGGACTGAATCCAGTGCTCCGACCCCAGTCTTCAGCCTGCCTGTCCTTCACTCCTTCCTTCCACTGCCCTTCACCTGCCAACAGGCTGTTAGGAAGGTGGATAAAACTTGGGGACTTAAATAATAGAGCCAAGAAGTCTGTTGGGTCCTAAAAGATGGGGATATGCTTGGCATGGAGCACTAGGCCGCTTTCTCATGCCCTTGTGGCATTGGCAGCCGACGGATCCACCTCTACCCTGTGGGGAAGGGAGCTGGATGATTCTTACACACCCGTGGGGCCCCTTGCATCACCATTGTCCTCTCACCTGTGTGCTAAGTGTTTGCCAAGTACAGTACCACTCTTGCTCGTTACTCACAGGCAGCGGTATCTACCTGGCCCTTGACAGTCTTGTAACAGCCACTCAGAAAGTGAGTAGGCCTGCTTAGGCCTCTTCCCCAGGAATTGTGGACCATGAACCAGCCTCCCCTGTTATATTCCCTGGTGGTTCTGCATGGAGGCCACATCCTTCCCTTTGGAGCTTGGGTTGTTGGAACTGGTCATATGGATACATACTAGGTTGTCAGGGGCTTTGCAGGTGGCTGTGTGGATGCCCCGTTGTGACCTCAGGATGTTTGTCTGTGCGTGCGTGCTCAGTTGTGTCTGACTTTTTGTGACCTTGTGGACTGTAGCCCACCAGGCTCCTGTGTCCGTGGGATTCTCCAGGCAAGAACACTGGAGCGGGTTGCCATTTCCTTCTCCAGGGGATCTTCCTGACCCAGGATCGAACCTGCATCTCCTGCATTGCAGGAAGATTCTTTACCACTGAGCCTCCTGGGAACTGAGCGTTGTTATTCCTAAGAGAATATTCACCACGGTATTCCTTTATCTAGGAGTGCCCTGACCTGTTGCTTCTGCCTGATCTCCCCAGACCTCCTTGGAGCACACAGTTGAGTCAGTCCGGGCACAGCCAGGCTGTACTTACCAAGGTGCTGTCTTGCTGCCTGGTGCCCCTCTGAGCCCAGAGTCCTGGCTTCCAGTTGTTTCCGCCACCCAGAGCTGGGCTGCTTCGGACGGGCCGCTCCCTCCCCACAAGGTGGGGCTTCCTCCTGTAAAGCGGCTCTCACGTCCCTGCTTCGCAGCTGCAGCCAACGTGGGACAGGAGAGGGGGGCGGAGAGCGGGGGGAGCAGTTTGGGAGCGCGGAGTACCAGTGTGTCTAATGCCCTCATGCGGCCTGTTTCTTGCTAATGAAGACTCCCAGTCGGGGCTGAGTGAGCGCTCCGCCTCTGCTTTCTCTGCCCCTGTCCTGCCTAAAGGCCCTTCAGGAGCCTCCAAGTGAGAAGTTGGCCATCCTCCTCCCTCCTTTTCCTGTGAAGCCGCAGGGGAGGGCCAGCCCACTCTTGTGGGTTTCCTGCAGCTTCCCTTCCAGAGCCACGTCTCCTCTGGGAAGAAGGCTGAGCTGTCAGACAGTCAGGTTTTGGTTTTTTTTTTTAATTAGTTGGAGGCTAATTACTTTACAATATTGTAGTGGTTTTTGTCATACATTGACATGAATCAGCCATGGATATACTTCAGTCAGGTATTTTTAAACAGCTGATCACAGAGCACAGGTAGTTACCTAACCAGGCT